AAAAAATATTTATAAATTTAGAGATAATAATAACATTTCTTTATTCGCTCTTTATGAACAATCCCTTGATGTAATCGAAAACTTCAATACAATCTGAGTATAGAGATTATGTCATTCTTCATCATTGCCCAAAAAAACTCTGTTTGTTATCTTAATCTCAATAGTTATAGAAAAAAATATTTATAAATTTAGAGATAATATAACATTTCTTTATTCGCTCTTTATGAACAATCCCTTGATGTAATCGAAAACTTCAATACAATCTGAGTATAGAGATTATGTCATTCTTCATCATTGCCCAAAAAAACTCTGTTTGTTATCTTAATCTCAATAGTTATAGAAAAAAATATTTATAAATTTAGAGATAATAATAACATTTCTTTATTCGCTCTTTATGAACAATCCCTTGATGTAATCGAAAACTTCAATACAATCTGAGTATAGAGATTATGTCATTCTTCATCATTGCCCAAAAAAACTCTGTTTGTTATCTTAATCTCAATAGTTATAGAAAAAAATATTTATAAATTTAGAGATAATAATAACATTTCTTTATTCGCTCTTTATGAACAATCCCTTGATGTAATCGAAAACTTCAATACAATCTGAGTATAGAGATTATGTCATTCTTCATCATTGCCCAAAAAAACTCTGTTTGTTCTTTTAATCTCAATAGTTATAGAAAAAAATATTTATAAATTTAGAGATAATAATAACATTTCTTTATTCGCTCTTTATGAACAATCCCTTGATGTAATCGAAAACTTCAATACAATCTGAGTATAGAGATTATGTCATTCTTCATCATTGCCCAAAAAAACTCTGTTTGTTATCTTAATCTCAATAGTTATAGAAAAAAATATTTATAAATTTAGAGATAATAATAACATTTCTTTATTCGCTCTTTATGAACAATCCCTTGATGTAATCGAAAACTTCAATACAATCTGAGTATAGAGATTATGTCATTCTTCATCATTGCCCAAAAAAACTCTGTTTGTTATCTTAATCTCAATAGTTATAGAAAAAAATATTTATAAATTTAGAGATAATAATAACATTTCTTTATTCGCTCTTTATGAACAATCCCTTGATGTAATCGAAAACTTCAATACAATCTGAGTATAGAGATTATGTCATTCTTCATCATTGCCCAAAAAAACTCTGTTTGTTATCTTAATCTCAATAGTTATAGAAAAAAATATTTATAAATTTAGAGATAATAATAACATTTCTTTATTCGCTCTTTATGAACAATCCCTTGATGTAATCGAAAACTTCAATACAATCTGAGTATAGAGATTATGTCATTCTTCATCATTGCCCAAAAAAACTCTGTTTGTTATCTTAATCTCAATAGTTATAGAAAAAAATATTTATAAATTTAGAGATAATAATAACATTTCTTTATTCGCTCTTTATGAACAATCCCTTGATGTAATCGAAAACTTCAATACAATCTGAGTATAGAGATTATGTCATTCTTCATCATTGCCCAAAAAAACTCTGTTTGTTATCTTAATCTCAATAGTTATAGAAAAAAATATTTATAAATTTAGAGATAATAATAACATTTCTTTATTCGCTCTTTATGAACAATCCCTTGATGTAATCGAAAACTTCAATACAATCTGAGTATAGAGATTATGTCATTCTTCATCATTGCCCAAAAAAACTCTGTTTGTTTTTTAATCTCAATAGTTATAGAAAAAAATATTTATAAATTTAGAGATAATAATAACATTTCTTTATTCGCTCTTTATGAACAATCCCTTGATGTAATCGAAAACTTCAATACAATCTGAGTATAGAGATTATGTCATTCTTCATCATTGCCCAAAAAAACTCTGTTTGTTATCTTAATCTCAATAGTTATAGAAAAAAATATTTATAAATTTAGAGATAATAATAACATTTCTTTATTCGCTCTTTATGAACAATCCCTTGATGTAATCGAAAACTTCAATACAATCTGAGTATAGAGATTATGTCATTCTTCATCATTGCCCAAAAAAACTCTGTTTGTTATCTTAATCTCAATAGTTATAGAAAAAAATATTTATAAATTTAGAGATAATAATAACATTTCTTTATTCGCTCTTTATGAACAATCCCTTGATGTAATCGAAAACTTCAATACAATCTGAGTATAGAGATTATGTCATTCTTCATCATTGCCCAAAAAAACTCTGTTTGTTCTTTTAATCTCAATAGTTATAGAAAAAAATATTTATAAATTTAGAGATAATAATAACATTTCTTTATTCGCTCTTTATGAACAATCCCTTGATGTAATCGAAAACTTCAATACAATCTGAGTATAGAGATTATGTCATTCTTCATCATTGCCCAAAAAAAACTCTGTTTGTTATCTTAATCTCAATAGTTATAGAAAAAAATATTTATAAATTTAGAGATAATAATAACATTTCTTTATTCGCTCTTTATGAACAATCCCTTGATGTAATCGAAAACTTCAATACAATCTGAGTATAGAGATTATGTCATTCTTCATCATTGCCCAAAAAAACTCTGTTTGTTATCTTAATCTCAATAGTTATAGAAAAAAATATTTATAAATTTAGAGATAATAATAACATTTCTTTATTCGCTCTTTATGAACAATCCCTTGATGTAATCGAAAACTTCAATACAATCTGAGTATAGAGATTATGTCATTCTTCATCATTGCCCAAAAAAACTCTGTTTGTTATCTTAATCTCAATAGTTATAGAAAAAAATATTTATAAATTTAGAGATAATAATAACATTTCTTTATTCGCTCTTTATGAACAATCCCTTGATGTAATCGAAAACTTCAATACAATCTGAGTATAGAGATTATGTCATTCTTCATCATTGCCCAAAAAAACTCTGTTTGTTCTTAATCTCAATAGTTATAGAAAAAAATATTTATAAATTTAGAGATAATAATAACATTTCTTTATTCGCTCTTTATGAACAATCCCTTGATGTAATCGAAAACTTCAATACAATCTGAGTATAGAGATTATGTCATTCTTCATCATTGCCCAAAAAAAACTCTGTTTGTTATCTTAATCTCAATAGTTATAGAAAAAAATATTTATAAATTTAGAGATAATAATAACATTTCTTTATTCGCTCTTTATGAACAATCCCTTGATGTAATCGAAAACTTCAATACAATCTGAGTATAGAGATTATGTCATTCTTCATCATTGCCCAAAAAAAACTCTGTTTGTTCTTTTAATCTCAATAGTTATAGAAAAAAATATTTATAAATTTAGAGATAATAATAACATTTCTTTATTCGCTCTTTATGAACAATCCCTTGATGTAATCGAAAACTTCAATACAATCTGAGTATAGAGATTATGTCATTCTTCATCATTGCCCAAAAAAACTCTGTTTGTTCTTTTAATCTCAATAGTTATAGAAAAAAATATTTATAAATTTAGAGATAATAATAACATTTCTTTATTCGCTCTTTATGAACAATCCCTTGATGTAATCGAAAACTTCAATACAATCTGAGTATAGAGATTATGTCATTCTTCATCATTGCCCAAAAAAACTCTGTTTGTTCTTTTAATCTCAATAGTTATAGAAAAAAATATTTATAAATTTAGAGATAATAATAACATTTCTTTATTCGCTCTTTATGAACAATCCCTTGATGTAATCGAAAACTTCAATACAATCTGAGTATAGAGATTATGTCATTCTTCATCATTGCCCAAAAAAACTCTGTTTGTTATCTTAATCTCAATAGTTATAGAAAAAAATATTTATAAATTTAGAGATAATAATAACATTTCTTTATTCGCTCTTTATGAACAATCCCTTGATGTAATCGAAAACTTCAATACAATCTGAGTATAGAGATTATGTCATTCTTCATCATTGCCCAAAAAAAACTCTGTTTGTTCTTTTAATCTCAATAGTTATAGAAAAAAATATTTATAAATTTAGAGATAATAATAACATTTCTTTATTCGCTCTTTATGAACAATCCCTTGATGTAATCGAAAACTTCAATACAATCTGAGTATAGAGATTATGTCATTCTTCATCATTGCCCAAAAAAAACTCTGTTTGTTATCTTAATCTCAATAGTTATAGAAAAAAATATTTATAAATTTAGAGATAATAATAACATTTCTTTATTCGCTCTTTATGAACAATCCCTTGATGTAATCGAAAACTTCAATACAATCTGAGTATAGAGATTATGTCATTCTTCATCATTGCCCAAAAAAACTCTGTTTGTTATCTTAATCTCAATAGTTATAGAAAAAAATATTTATAAATTTAGAGATAATAATAACATTTCTTTATTCGCTCTTTATGAACAATCCCTTGATGTAATCGAAAACTTCAATACAATCTGAGTATAGAGATTATGTCATTCTTCATCATTGCCCAAAAAAACTCTGTTTGTTATCTTAATCTCAATAGTTATAGAAAAAAATATTTATAAATTTAGAGATAATAATAACATTTCTTTATTCGCTCTTTATGAACAATCCCTTGATGTAATCGAAAACTTCAATACAATCTGAGTATAGAGATTATGTCATTCTTCATCATTGCCCAAAAAAACTCTGTTTGTTATCTTAATCTCAATAGTTATAGAAAAAAATATTTATAAATTTAGAGATAATAATAACATTTCTTTATTCGCTCTTTATGAACAATCCCTTGATGTAATCGAAAACTTCAATACAATCTGAGTATAGAGATTATGTCATTCTTCATCATTGCCCAAAAAAACTCTGTTTGTTCTTTTAATCTCAATAGTTATAGAAAAAAATATTTATAAATTTAGAGATAATAATAACATTTCTTTATTCGCTCTTTATGAACAATCCCTTGATGTAATCGAAAACTTCAATACAATCTGAGTATAGAGATTATGTCATTCTTCATCATTGCCCAAAAAAACTCTGTTTGTTCTTTTAATCTCAATAGTTATAGAAAAAAATATTTATAAATTTAGAGATAATAATAACATTTCTTTATTCGCTCTTTATGAACAATCCCTTGATGTAATCGAAAGCGTCAACAATCTGGTTGAAAATGTTGATTGGCAATGCACGAACAACAAGTCCGTACGGGACGCAGAAAGCGCCAATAGAAACAGAGAAAATCCACTCAGAAAGTGACAATTTCTCTGATGCGAAGAACTTTCCGCAGAGCTGAACCAAGATGAACTCAACGATTGCGATACCTCCCATTATAATCAAGAACAGAGGGTTAGAGAAGAAAGCGTCGAATATCTTATCCTCTCTGTCAACAACTCTCGCGTTGATTAAGTTGAAAACCTGGCAATAAACGAAAACATTGAAAATCAATGTATAATGGTGAACAGATCTCGCTTCTATTTGTCCGTGGAACACAAGCAAGATCATCATAAGCAATATCTGATAGAACGATTGAGATCCGATGTTTTTAATCATGAATCTCGAAATTAGAGGAACTTCTCTATCATTTGGAGGTCTGTGAAGTAAAGTTCTTTGTGGCATCGATGTAGCCAACGCGAGAGCTCCAAGAGAGTCCATGATCATGTTAATCCATAATAATTGTACAGCTTTGAACGGAGTATCCTGCAGAATTACGGACGACAGGAAGGAAATAAAGAGTGTTCCAACATTTGCTGTCAATTGGAACTGTAGGAACCTTCTGACGTTGTTGTAAATGCATCTTCCCCACATTACTGAGGAAACAATGGATTTGAAGTTATCATCAAGGATGACAATGTCTGAGGCTTCTTTAGCAAGCTCTGTTCCGCAGATTCCCATTGACAAACCAACGTCTGCTGTGTGTAATGCAGGAGCATCGTTTGTTCCGTCGCCAGTTACGGCCACTATCTCGCCCTGACGCTGTAGAGCATTGACAACAGCGTATTTATCCAGTGGCTTGGCTCTGGCAACGACACAGCAGGATTTTACGAGATCTTCAATTTCTTTTTCGGATTTTCCACGGAGATCGTCACCTGTAAGGACGGATCTGTCGCCTGTCTGTATGCCGCAATCGTTGGCTATGGCCGTGGCCGTAAGTGGATTGTCTCCAGTGATCATTATGACTCTGATGCCAGCGTGTTGGCATTCTGCAATGGCAGATGGAGTAGATGGACGGAGGGAATCACGGATGGCAAAGACACAAAGTAAAGTAAGGTTACTTTCTGCATCATCTTGGTTTCTTGGAACTGATTCGACTTCTTTCATAGCGACAGCCATCATTCTGTAGCTTTGACGGCATCCTGCTTCGATGACTTTCTTCATTGAAGCTTGTACGTCGTTAGATAAGTCGTATATTTTTCCATCTTTCGAATAATATGATTTGCACTGGCCAAGGATATACTCCCAAGCACCCTTAGCACTAACTATTGTATTCTGATTCGATTTGTAGTATGTAGACATCGTCTTTCTCAAAGTAGAAAACTGATATTGATGAAAATCAGAGTGTTCGTCACGAATCTTGCGTATATCGGCGCCGAAACTGATTACATATCTAAGGAGGGCGCATTCCGTCTGTGTTCCGAACGATCCGTGCTCAGTAATTTCTGCGGTAGAATTTACAGCGATAGATTCGATTATTTTATCAAGTAATGATTGCGAAATTTGTTCTTTGTCTTTGGCGTCTATGTTTTGATCGCCGATAATGACTTTTTCGACATTCATTTCGTTGAGAGTTAATGTTCCTGTTTTATCAGTGCAAATGACTGTGGCGCTACCCATTGTCTCACATGCGCGAAGGTGGCGTACGAAGTTGTTGTCTTTCATCATCTTTTTCATTGAATATGCGAGAGAAATCGTAACTGCGAGAGGAAGACCTTCTGGAACAGCAACGACGACGATTGAGAGAGCTCCGACAAGATACTCGAGTAAATCTTGAGCGGCGGACCATTTCCAGCCCGTTGTGACTCTCATATAAATACAATGTAAGAAAAGGGCGACAAAGGACACAACGGCGACGATCATACCGGCGTAACCGATGTTTTCAGCGAGATCTTCCAATTTATCTTGAAGAGGTGTCTGTTTTTGCTCTTCATTAAGAGTTGCGAAAATTCTGCCGAAATTGGAGTGTTTTCCTACGCAAAGGACAAGGTATTTGCCGCGGCCTTGGCTGACGAGGGTGCCACTGAGTAAAAATGGGTTGTCAAGGGATTTCAGATCGTGTTTTGACTCTCCTGTTGCAGCTGACGTATCAATTTCAAGGGAATCGGAATCTATGATGATACCATCTGCAGGAATCTTATCTCCTGGCGATAAAATAATGATATCACCTACAAGTACTTCCGAACTCTTTATTTCATTCATGAAACCATCTCTAATCACATGTACTGGGTATATATAATTACATCTATTAATTTTAGCGAATTGTAATGCTTGGTCATGATTAGAAAATGCTTGAACAAGGGAAACAACAGAAACTGCACATAAAATAGCTGCTCCATCGATCCAGGCTGTTCCTCTCTCTTCAGGAGTAGCAAAAGTGGTTTCTAAAATTAAACTACAAATAGCACATGCAATAAGAATCTTCAATGTAGCATCATCTAAAGCATCAAGAAGCATTTGCCATATCGAAGGAACTTCACGAACTGGAACTGAGTTCGATCCATACTTCGATTCTTGTTTTTCTAGTTGGTTTTTCGAAAGACCTTTCTTAATATCGGAGTTCACCTTTGTAGCAACGCATTCAACTCCGCCAAGAGTATCGATAGCTTTGTCATCTTCATCGACAAGTATCTTCTCAAGGTGTTCTGGAGACAAATCTTCTTCTAATTGGGTCATTTGTAAAAAATAAATGAGACCAATTTGAAAGGACGATAATTCTATGAAAACATTAAAAATCCATTAATTTTATATGTAATATAATTTGGAGTGTTCCGAATTTGACTAGTAATTGAGAGAGAAATTCAAATAAAATTTTTTTGCTCAATTTAAATATTGTAAAAACTAATCATTCCCATAGTGAGATAAATGATTATGGTTTTGGAAAAAAAAAGTGAAAATTTGACGGGCCAAGCAACTGCTTTGTTTTGTTTCCCTTTGATCGGAATGTTTCGAAACTTGATTTGATATATTATTTGTTTACCACACCTTGACTAGTGAATCTACATTGCATGTGGCCAAGTGTAATTTCTTTAAAAAATCTGAAAATATCATGATTTCAAGAGTTTCGATCACCGATAAAATTAAAAAGTTTACAAACCAAAATCTGAAAAGTTTTTTTGGAATAATTTTATTGGTCGTCACTGCTGAAACGAGTATTTGGCTCCTTGTTTAAGAGCAATTATCCTCTAAAATATCTTGTAAATAGCCAAAATACCTGAATATCAAGTTTGTCATTAGAACACAAAGTATCAATTATATGAATGAAGATAGAATGATACAATATTTACTGATAGGATTAAAAAAAATAATATATCAAAAATAATATTAGCAAAAATCAAAGATCTGCTCGGTATTATAAGTACCTATGTAAATGGACTTAAAATAACATATTTTAAATGTATAAGAATTGTAACATAAATAATATTAACAACATGGGAACTTTGAACCTCCTCCTATTACGATTTCGTCTAAAGGTTGGTCAATACTATCACGTTTTAATGAAACGGAATCTATTTTGAATGCAGAAACTGTATTGTAAACCTTTTCAGCTGTTTTCAGAAATGTTTCTTCTAATTTATCGCCTGATAAGGCAGATGTTTCGTAATATGCAAAATTATGTTGAGTTGCAAGGTCATTGGCTTCAACAAAAGGAACTTCTCTCTTAGAAAGTAAATCTGTCTTGTTTCCAATCATTACCTTAACTGAATTAGGAGGTGAAAGATTAACTGCATCATTAATCCAATCGCCTACACTATTGAATGAATTGCGGTTCGAAACGTCGTAAACAACGAAAACAGCAGCAGCTGAGTGAAAATAAGATTTAGTTATAGAGCGGAATCTCTCTTGGCCTGCTGTATCCCAAAATTGTATTTTTATTGTATTTCCTTTAATGTCGACAGTGCGGCGACTGAATTCTAAACCAATTGTCTGTGTTTGATTTTCTTCAAAGATGTTTTCGCAAAACATCTTGCACATGGATGTCTTTCCAACACCCGAATCTCCAACAAGAATAAACTTAAATGTTAGTTGTTCTTCTCCCATTTTTGAAGAAAATTGACAAAAAATAAATTAGAATGAAAAAAAGAAAAAATGGGGCGAGCCGGGAATTGAACCCGGGACCTCCTGTACCCAAAACAGGAATCATACCACTAGACTACTCACCCGCTCACATTAATTTAATTTTTTTTCAGTACAACAGTATAAGAACAGAGATTCAAACTCTAATGAGCTATAAATCACTTATAAAATAATGATTAACAGATAATTCCTGCGAACAATGCAGTAATACCAAAATAGATTCTTACTTCTTGATTGTTATTTAATAATCTCTATATTTCTCCATTGAATTCAAATGAAATTATTTTGATCATTTTATATACACATTAAATTGTTACCATTCTTAATATAATTAAGGATATGCTATAAATATATTATAAAATATCTTTTATTATTCAAATTAATAAATTTTTCTTTTCAACATAAAGTTAATTTTGTTCATTTGTTGATAATCCATTAAAGTATCAATAATTAAGATTAATAACCATAAGATTATTTCTAAAAAATCTCCAAAAAAATTAGAAAAATGAAATTTTGATTGAAATTTCAACAATTTTTGAATTTAAAATGGTAATTTCAGAATTTTTTTTGGAATTTTAAGAATTCATCGATATACTCTTCAATGTATAGAATTGATGTTTCTTTGTTCAATTGGAGTCTCTGTGAAGTATTTCTATATAAGATAGAATTTATTTTTAAATTTAAGGTCCCAAAATAAGAGAGCATCATTTGAAACACTAACATAAAACAGACTCATTATAAAAAACTAATCATTGAATAAAAATGCAAATGAATTTGAAATCAATCAAAATAAAACATTCAGCTTACACGTATACAAAGAGATATCAACAAAATCAACCTCTCTAAAGTTAGAAAAAAAGAGAGGTTCAATTTCGATATCAAAAATCGTAAAAAAAACGTTGTATTATATGCAAATAAGTCCGAGATTTATGTAAATCTTTGTTTGGTGAAGTTCTTTCGTAATCCACCAGGTATTGAAAATTCAATAGAAATTTTTGTTCCGAGAAGCATTTTTCCATTCATAGTTTTAAGCGCTGTTTGAGCGCATCTGGTATCCCAGTATTCTATGAACCTTTGCGATGGTTTTGAAGGCGTTCCGCGTATTTGCCGAATTTCCCCAAAGCTGCAGAAAATGCTTTCAAGTTGTGTGTTTGTAATAGAAGGGTCCAAATGAAATAGTACAATCGTGCCGTTGTTAGGCGGTTTTTGACTTGGGGTAGAATTTGGAGGTGGCGGTGAATACCTGACTTCCATAGGAACACCAGTCAGCATTTGCTTATCCAAATGATGCCTGAAGTATTGAGCGTGCCTCAAGTCGAAAAATTCGATCAGTACGTATTTCTTTTGGATTTTTTGAACGCTTTTCATAGGAACTGTTGTTGGGATAAAACCTTTAACAAACTCCAATGAAACATTTTCGGGTAAATTTTTAATAATGATAGTTCGACTTTCAATTTCTGGACACTCGCGTTTATCAATTACTTCCTTTTCGTTTGAAGGAGTCTCCAGGCCAAGAAATTCGAGGGTTGATGTGGGGTCTTGCGATAAAAATGTCGGGAGAGATGGAGATCTTGGCATGAAAGAAGGGTAAATTGGCAATATTGTGGAAGGAATATCAGGACTGTCCTGCATTGCCAACTGAACAAATGAATTCATCTGAGGGGGCGTCTGAACGAAGTCCCCCCAGTCGTCTGAAAACATTAAATTTTTACAAGAATCATCCAACTTCTTAATTATTTGTTTGACCAGATTCAGTGGGAAATTTATATTACAGTATGGTAATTACTACAAGATGATTAGAAATACTGAAATTCAATAGTTTCCATATCAGAAAAATATTGAAATGAAATTTAGCTAAAAATCAATTCATCACTTTCGGCTTAATATCAAAATGTTATAAAAACTAAATTGAGTGAACGAGACCGTTTAATAAATTGAATAAGCATCTCGAAGATTTTGCAAATTACCTCAGACTTTTCAGAGGATTGAGTGGCAACTCAATCCTCTGAAATAGTCTGTGGTAATTTTTAGTCTCTACACTATTTCAATATAAACTCCATTTTTAAACAGTTTTTAAAAGTCGAGCATTGAAAAGTGTGATGAGACTTTTTTATTCAAATTTTATTTTGCTAATCAAGAAAAATCACCAACGGCAAATAATGAAAACATTCATTCCTATCGCTTTTTTAAAAAAAAAAAAAAAAAAAAGGTAGTGGGGCTTCCAGGCGCGTTGCGCCCTCTAGCCCTGAAGATGTTTAGTATAAATGAAGTTTTTATTCGGAAAATTGTTAGTCTTCTGGTGTGAATTCGGAGGACTCTTCTTCTTTCTCCATTGCTTCTGGGAAGAAGCCTTCTTCTGGGTCGAAAACATTATATAATGTGTCGCTTTTCACAAATTATATATGTTTTCATGCTTTGTCACTTTTCTATCACTTTTCGGGTAAAAACATTTTTATTATTATATATAAATGAATTTTACAAAACCTCCGTTACCGTTCTTTGGAAATAAGAGTAAATGTAAAGATATTATATTGAGAGAACTTAAGAAACTACCGAATGGTCTAACATTTGTAGATTTGTTCGGTGGAAGTTTCTATATATCCCATTTGTGCCATACAATATTCCCAGACTCAAAGATTATATGCAATGACTTCGACAACTATATGGACCGTCTCAAACATATTCCAGACACTAACAATATATTGAAAGAGTTAAAAGAAAAGATACCTATAGGTAAGATGGAACGTATACCATTAGATAACAAAAATATTGTGAGAGAGGTTTTGAAAAAAGCAGAATATATAGACTGGGATAGTATATCTGCTAGACTATTATATAGTGGTTCTATAAGAGTTCATGACATTGAAACACTTATGTCAAAAGTTTTATATCTTAACTATACAAATGTTTTCAAAGAGGACATAGAAAAATATATTGAGGGTATAGAGTTTGTGAGATGTCATTGGACAGAGTTGTATGAAAAATATAAAGACAAGGAAAATGTTTTCTTTATAGTGGACCCGCCGTTCTATAACACATGGGATTTTCAATACCAAGTAGACTGGACTTTGAGAGACTCTTTAGAAACTTTAGACGTTTTACATAACCATCCATGCTTTTACTTTACATCCGATAAAAGTGGTTTGGAAAGTGTCATGAAATGGTTAGAGGACATACATGACTATGAGTTTAGATATGACAAGATAGAATATGAGAGAGGTCCTATAAACCGGAGAAAGTGTCATAACAAAGAAATTTTATTAGTAAGTAAATGTGGTTTGAAATAGGACTACTTGTTTTAGGTTTTTTCCATTGTGTCATTTATTTCTTTGACGTGGCAGAAAAGTACAGAGAATATGAAGATGAACCAATGCCTGCAAATGTTCAGTATATGTACTCGTAAGAGATATTTTTATCTAATATTAAATGGACGCACAGAACTTAGCGAATGCACAGCAACCTGGACAACCAAACCCAGAGAATATTCCAAATGAAGTTAGAATACAAACTGCAATGGCAAACTATGGTCAAGTGCCAACAGATGTACAAATGCAAACTGCCATGTCAAATGACGCTGCGTTAGGTTTGCCACCATGGTATGCAAATATGAGATGGAAAGAGTTTTATACAAACCCTGAAGTGGGATATAAACAACTTTATGCAGATGACGCGAACACAGGAGTTGACCCAGAATATGTTTTCTACCAGAGGAGAAACAGAATGTATGAGCTCCAGTTAAAGAATGCTATGGAACTCAACAGGAAACGTAAGAGACTAGGTGGACATTAGATTTTTACATATAGTAAAATGGGTTTCTTCAGTAAGATAGGAAACTTCTTTCGAAATGTTGGAAGAGGTATATGGAATGGAATAAAAACCGTAGGAAGAGGAATTTGGAACGGAGTCAAAAATATTGGTAAAAGAGTAGGTCAGTTTGTTGGTATTATACCTAAAGACCCTGAACCAGAAGAGCAAGCTCCTGTTATACAACAGCCTGAACCTGCACCACAGTCTAGTTGGCAACCAAATCCAACACCTCAACCGTATTAAAAAATTATATTTTACCGTTCGATAGTAGTTGTATATGAAACTAAGTTCTAAGTAAAACGCATGGTATAATGGAATTATTCTTTTTCTTCCATCTGTAGTAAACCATACTTGAAAGTCTGAAATACTTCCACTTGGTGGTTCGTATAACTTTGTAGGTTTTTCGTAAAAGTCATTTGCCAAGCATAAGAAAGAGTTTTGGGCGCCAGAAAATGAAGCATGAACAATAATAGCATCTTGGTCGAAAACATTTTCATATGTTCCATTAGGGTTTTCGACTTCATAAAAGTCTGGGTGTACTGGATATGCTGCAGGCTGATTTAACATCCTCAGAAATCTATACCATGCCAAGTTGTTATATTTTGTAGAAATATAAACGTTTTCTCCAAGGTCTTCTATTCTATTGATTTTAACAGTTGCATTTTTCCTGTCATAAATAATATCGAGATGGTACTCTCCCTCGTCAATGTTATACTGGTTTGCATATTCGATATAGATATCGTTTATTTTTTCTTGAAAAGCTTGAAGAGTTGTTTCTAAGTTTACAAGCAAACTAACTTGTAAAAGTTTTCCCTGTTCAAATTTCTCATACATACGTTTTTCTTTGTTATAGTATCGAACTTCAAAACCGACCGTAAATGGGAAACCATGTATGGCTTCTGAAATGAACTTCATTCTACGAAAGCCAATAGCTTTTGTGACAGATGGGTCTCTTAACCATCTTAATGGTAGTCAAAACGATAGCCTTCATGCTTTACGGTCTCTGTCTCAAACTTTTGACCGACATTAGTAAAAAGTTCATCTAATGGTTTAGTTGTAGCAACTCTTGAATTTTCTTTTTCTATTGAAAGCATATTTTATCTAGAATAAAAATGTCGAAAGATATTGCTTCCATAAGAGAAATACAACACAACCGACAACTCATTATGCAAGCTCTAAATAAGAACACAACAAACTTTTCAAACTATTCTAAGATATCTGAGTCATTGAAAGAAGGAAACTTAAAACTGACATTAAACCCAATGACAGATGAGTTTCTGTTTCAAGACAATAAGAACCATACTGTCTGTATAAATCCAACAAAAGGAACTTTAAACGAGAAACCTATAAATGAACTTCTTTTGAAAGCAGATGTTGACAACAAAGCTGACAAAGAATATGTAGACGATGCAATAGCAAAAGAAGAAGAAAGAGCTAACAATGCTTATGCAACAAAAGAACATACTCATCCTGAACTAGCAGACAAAACATATGTTGACAATAAAATGTCAAGTGAAGTGACAAGAGCTGAAAACGAATATTCTAAAAAGACTCATATACATTCTATATCTGAAATAACAGACTTAAACGTTAGCCTTGAAAAGAAAGCGGATGAGGAATGTGTGGCTAGTGCGTTAGAGAAGAAAGCAGATAAGGAATATGTGGATGAAAAAGATAAAGAAATTATAGAAAGGGCTGAATGGTACCATGAATGGACATCGAAGACTTTTAAAGTTAAAGCTGATACAGGATGGGTTTCAGGATGTTTAGACCTTAAAGCAGATAAAACTTATGTTAACGATGAGTTAGAGAAGAAAGCAGACAAGAACCATACACATACAAGTTTTACAACTGTTAGAGCAGACGACATAATACTGAACTTTGACCTTGGTTCAAGTGCACCTTTAGAGAATCCGAGTACAAGCGTAAAAGATACTCTTAACAATTTAGATAAGAGTTGCAGGAACATTGAAAGTCATGCCAGAAACTTTGAAGCATATGAACTACCCGCAATGTTAGACAAGAAAGCAGACAAAACAGAGCTTCAAACATTAAAGACAGAAATGCTTCAAACATTATATCCTATAGGCTCTATTTATACGTCAATGAACTCTACCAGACCAGAAGTAGTACTTGGTTTTGGAACTTGGACTCAAATAGTCGACAGGTTTTTGTATTGTGCAAACTCTTCAAAGGAAACAGGTGGAAGTAAAACGATTTCAGGTGAAAATTTACCTGCACATAGTCACTACATAGATTTAAGTACATCTCAAGCAGGTTGGCATAAGCATAGATATTGGGATTGGTCAGCAATGACAAAAGGTAAAGGATATGATGTTAAAGACAACGTTAAGTTTGCTATAAATTGTTACTGGAGTAACACTGAGGGAGGAGGAAACCATACACATCGCGTTTCGGGATATACGCAAACAACGGGACAAAGTAAAGACTACATGCCACCTTACATGACAGTTTACGCATGGTATAGAAATGCTTAGTCGTCATTTTCAACTTCTTTAGCATATTCGTCAGGAGTTGTCTTATATTTGTTAGGAACTGTCTTTGAAAGTATACCACCTTGAACTTTGACAAGTTTTGAAACGAGGTCTGACAATAGTAGTTTTATCTTCTGCTTGCAGTGTGTACATTTTGCCATGTTTGCCTAAAACTTCATAATATTCTCTTGTATACTTTCTTCTATTTTTACGAACACGAATGTGAGTACCTGTCGGGTTTCCATTGTTGTCATAGTCAATAGTATTTTCATATGGGTCGCGTTTAGGTATTTCTATTTTTACTTTGTCACCTTTCTGAAGTTTGAAGCCCGGCATTCTTTCTTGTTTGTCTCTTTTGACTAAATTATTAAATATATAGTCTTTCTCTAAGTCAGGGTTGTTTTCATTTCTTCAGGGGAGTGGTTTCCCAAACCTTTTTGTTTACGGCTATTGTAAATATTTAAAACTTGTCTCATCTTTGCCATGGAGAAGTGTCTATATTTGTCGTCATATGACATTTCATTTGCTTCACCACCTTGTGGTTGGTTTAAGTCTCTTAACATTTTTATACAACCGTCAATGACACCAAGAGCAGAATGGTTTTGGTCGACAATGAAATATTGGTTTACATTTTTTGAACGCAGATAGTTTTTACATCATCTGATTTGAAAGAACTTTCACAGTCAGATGTCAGTTTTGTTGGATGGTATTTGTCAACGAATATTGTCAAAGCTGCTAAGATATCTAAAATAGCTTTGGACTGTAATGGTATGGCTTCACAGTATCTTGTGTTTTGACCAACAAATATTAACCAGTATGGTGGTCCATCTGTTCTAACTCTCGGAATGTTTCCAAGATATCCATAAACCAAGCATTTGGTGTTGAACTAAAGATTTTTATCATGAGTGCTTTCTTTGTCGCTTTAGAAACATAGGGGTCCTTGTTTGGATTCGTCATTTTTTATCCTATAAGAAATGGGTTTATTTGGCGCATTAGCAGGAGTTGCATCCAGATTTTTGCCCGCAGTGGGAACAATAGCCAGAGGTGTATTTGGAGTTGGAAGGAAGATTTTGAGTACATTAGGTATACTTAAAGAGAAAGCACAACCTATTATACAAACTGTACAGAAAGGTTGGGATGTAGCACGAGATGCAACAAATCTTATTCCAAATCCTGAAACAAGAGGAAAAGTTCAAGGATGGATGGACAATGTAGGAAGACAAGCAGGAAACTATTATAACAAAGCAAATGACTACTATAACCAAGCAGGACACTATATGGACCAAGGTGAAAGATTCTTTAACAGAGGATATAACCATGCACAACAATGGGTAAACAATAACCAACCTCAACCGCCTCAAACGTGGGGAATGTAAAGTTTTTTACTGAGATGAAATGAACAATACAGCATTGAGACAAATGGGTTCAAGATGGATTTGTCGGCTTCCAGCAGTTACACAACGTGTTTGTCAAGTTCTTCCTATACCTCAGGAAGTTTTAGACCGACTTAAAAAACAACAACAACCAGTTGAAAACAAACCAAACTAAAATTTTTTACTGAGATGAAATGACCGAAGAAGTTGAAACGGTAGATTTGACACCACAAACAAAAAGTTCAGAACCATTGTCAAAACCTGTCAAAGAACTTACAGATGAAGAGAAAAATTCAATAATAGAAAGTGCCAGGTCTGGAAATACAAACCCTAACTACAAAGTCACTTTTCATAAAAATGGAACGGCAAGTATCTCAAAAAAAGAAACAGACTCTCACAAATAAAATATTGAAGTCTGAAGGAGCTTTCGAGACAACAGATGGAAAAGTTTACTTCACTGACCAACAGTTCATTATAGAACATCTCATTGACTTAGAGTCGAAATATTCTAAACTTTAAACAAACACAAAAAGTTGAAAGGAAAACAAAAACAAATGGCATATGATATTTATGAAGATGTTGACGACACAACTGTTCCTGCAGGTGAGGTAAAGTCAGAAGAAACCGAAAAGTGACGAAAAACCGATAGAAGAAGAAAAACCAAAAACTGAAGATAAACCAAAACCAAAGTTTAGTTTGGAAACTAAACCAAGTCAACCTTCATTAGCTGTATGGGTTGGCGTCAAAGACTTATGGCAGCAGGCGGTTATGTTAAGTAAAGAAAAAAATATTTTTTTATTTTTATAAAAATGCCCCCATATAGAATGGATAGAAAATCTGCTAGAATAAAAGCAGAGTCTGCTAGAATAAAAGCAGAGTTGGGAAACTGTTTGTTAGATGAGAAATATGAAATGGCATACCATTTTAAAACAATATATTTTACATATATTAAATGCTTCAGGTTGAAAAACAAAGAACAAAGTAGTAGATACAAAACCGTTAGACTATATCTTTACAAATGCTGGTAGGACTATTTCAGATGAAGAAATTTCATCCCGAACATACAGGTTTGACTATCCAATTCGTTGGCTTCAAAGTCCTTCAGATGCAAAGGCAATAGCATTTAGAAGAGTTTTGTTTTCAAAATAGAACTAACGCATTTATGTTCGCAGTATATTTTCATGGCAGTATAAAGGTTCTGATGGTCTAATAGACAATTTGACGAAATGAGAATCTTTACAGTTCGTTCAGACGAAAGTCTTGAGAAAACTCTAAATGACTTTCAAACTCAAATGAACAAATATTATTGGGAATTTCAAGAAAAATACGACTCTTTACTAATGGAACATACTATCTGAAACTAGAATATGACAAGATGAACTCCACCGTTTCATTTCAAAAGATTGAAATTAACCCTCCAAGAGATACAGAGTTTTTATATTGGAAAGTAGACAAACGTTCTTGGGCACAATTTCTTCGGTTACTAAACCAGAACGAACCATTACCACCAGATGGTCCATTTAAATTTATACTTCCACCAGCAGATTTGACAGTTTATAGAAACGTGTTTGACCCTCAAAATGTTATGTGTCATGCAAGTTTCAGTTCAAGCAACAATAGTTTTCTATGTATTGGTAAGGACTTTTATGACTTTGCTTCTAAATTCTACGAACCACCTAGTAACAGTTTCTCTGACTTTCAAGTTTGGTTCACAACAAATGGTGTGCAACATATTATTCCATTGTACTATGACTTTTATCTCGAATTGTCTTTCATATATAACTACGGAAAAGTGCTGAAAAAGTATTGAATGTGAAGATATTAGAAAATAACATTTTTTCTAACATCGTAGAAAACTCATGAAAACAATTTATTTTTGACACTTTCACAAAAAACATAAAAAAGTGAAGTTAAACGTTAAGGTTTACTGAACTGGTTGGATGTCGCCTTCACAGGTTATGTAGAACGGCTGACCCGAGAAGTGGAACAGTGCTCTGAGAATTTGTATAATTCGTGGAATTGGACTCTCTCTGTTTGGAAGTAGTATCCAAGGACGCTTGGCAAAGAACTTGAGAAGAGCTTCTTTCTTTGCTTGCTTTATGCCATCGTAGGCTGTCCCGTCTGGTATTTGAATTGGAATTCCAGTCGAAATCTCGAGAGTCAAGGCAGCCCTTCCAGAAATAGTGGTGAACTTGACCTTGGGCTTCATGACCTTGCGCAAGTACTGCTTAACAAGCTCGTTAATTTAAATTAGGTAAACTGCCTCATCTAATGGCTCGATGTTGTCCATTGCACTGCTTCAGAACAATACTTGTACTTTTTCAGAACAATACTTGCACTGCTTCAGAACAATACTTGTACTTTTTCAGAACAAGACTTGCACTGCTTCAGAACAATACTTGTACTTTTTCAGAACAAGACTTGCACTGCTTCAGAACAATATTTGTACTGTTTCAAGACAATGTCCGACGTACCACCAACCCAGTCCATTCCCAAACCAGAGGAACCTAAAGCACCAGCCCCTGCACCTCAGTTCCAGCAAGTACCTCCGATTTACTACCAATTTCCACCTCAAGGTTACTACCCACCACAAGGCTTCCCAAACTACCCTCCTCAGCCTATGCCTTACTTCCCCAACCCTTGGATGTTTATGCAAAACCCTGCCCCACAATTCCAATCTCAATCCAAGAGAGACCAAGAGTTCGAGGAAGGTCTGAACCGCTTACGCAAAGAGTATGCTACAGCTCCAATTGAGAGAAAGTTGTTCCCGGACCAAAAAATAAAGTTTAGGGTAGAAGGTTAGATCTAACCTCTTGAATTTTCATGAATTTTCATGAATGTTTTGTCATGAATTTTCATGAATGTTTTGTCATGACTTCTTCGTAAATGTTTTGTCATGACTTCTTCGTAAATGTTTTGTCAAGACTTCTTCGTAAATGTTTTGTCAAGACTTCTTCGTAAATGTTTTGTCAAACATGAACGTAAATGTTTTGTCAAGACTTCTTCGTAAATGTTTTGTCAAACATGAACGTACATGCTTTGTCATGATTTCATCGTAATGAGTGTAAAGGACCCAAAAATAATGTTTAGGTGAAGTGGTGCGATCTCACCTGTTTTTTCACCTCTTGAATTTTCATGAATTTCCTTAAGATAGAAAAAATAAAGTTAGTTTTATTTTTTTATTTTGTATGTTAGATATGATTTCAGGGATTTTTTTGACGAAGTGTCAATGTTCACTTCGTCAAAAAATAACAGTTATCTAATGAAAAAGTGTCATTTTTTTGTATTTTTTTGTATGTAAGATATGATTTCAGGGATTTTTTTGACGAAGTGTCAATGTTCACTTCGTCAAAAAATAACAGTTATCTAATGAAAAAGTGTCATGACTTCTTCGTAAATGTTTTGTCAAGACTTCTTCGTACATGCTTTGTCATGATTTCATCGTAAATGTTTTGTCAAGACTTCTTCGTAAATGTTTTGTCATGACTTCTTCGTAAATGTTTTGTCAAGACTTCTTCGTAAATGTTTTGTCATGACTTCTTCGTAAATGTTTTGTCAAACATGAACGTAAATGTTTTGTCAAGACTTCTTCGTAAATGTTTTGTCAAACATGAACGTAAATGTTTTGTC